GTTGTTGTTTTTTGGAGGGGGGTGGGGTCTCTTAGCCTTGCCCTTCTCGACTCTCGGGCACAATATACACAGGCCTAATTCCCCGGTACTACGAAGGCTGTGAGTTAGCCGAAACAAAGGGGCGGGGAATAAGTTGACAACGTTTCACAGTATCCCTTCCTGGCCTTCCATCGGAGAGCGAAGGTTGAACCATATTATGGTGTACCGCTAGGCCTTCTCAATGCCGAGGCCAATCGTCCTGGATATACGGCCTCCCATGAGAAGGCCTAGGTGTACCGTCAAGAAGAAAGAGTGAAGAGAACAAGGACCTGATCTTGTTGGAACAACTTACTTATGACTTATGACGTGGAACGATAACAACTTGACCTATGACATTTGCTTGATTTACCGGTGCCGATTTTCCTTTCCCGGACTCGCCTACCAACGACAGTCAACCAATACAATACCCATATAATATCTCTTTTTTCGGTCGCATTTTTTTAGCTCCCTTTGAGCAGTGAAATTTTCTTCGTTTTCCAGGTTACATGTAATCTGAGGAATCTGTGTGGTTCTACTAACTACTGAAAATACATTGTGTGTGAAAAACGTATTTGAAATGTAAATGACAAAGTATTATATCAATAATATAAAGATGAAACATTCGAAAGACTTTACAACCGTCAGGCAAAGGGAGATCACTCAAATTGCACCTAGAGCTGCCGCTGTTGTTCGAACTTTCTATTTTCACTTCGGCTACCACCACATTAGACGTTACTATTTATTACACATTAAAAAAAGGGCCCTGTTGTTCGTATTTTTGTAAGTGTTTTCCCCACTGCTGAAGAGTAGAATCTAGTGCAAAACTCCAAGGCTGCTGTTAATGTAGATCAGCATTACCTTGTAGATCTAGATCTAGATCTATCTAGATCTACATCTAGTAATTGTAATGATTCTGCTATTCTGCAGAGATTCTGATTCTGGATTCTGAGGCTGAGGATTCTGATTTCATTCTCAGCAGTCTGCTGAGGAGCCAAGTCTGGGATTGGGTCAGCAAATAGCCTACCTCCATAGGCCCTGTGAGATAACAGAGCTATCATACCTTCCTCGTTACCTCTCACTGAGTAGAGTATTGCCTAGAGGCTAGTCTAGACTCTAGATCTAGACTGTGCATGTCTGTAATCTGTAATTGTTTTGTAATGAGGCTTAGATCTAGATCTAGAATCTAGATTCTAGTCTAGATCTAGATCTAGATCTAGAGATTTAGAAATCTAGAGGGCCTAAATCTAGAACAAGGCACTCTGGTTTGAAAATGAATGAGAATGTAGTTTTAGTGTGATTTTTCTCGGCCGTAATAACATTATAGCAGTTGATCAACCTTGACAGTTATCTCATAATAATGGTGGTATTTATATATTTGCCTTTGACATAACTTTTTCATTTACACAGCCCACAAGCTATGATGACGGAAAGCATTGGTGGAAGCCAAGAAAGCAGTCAGCTGTTTGCCCTAGGTTTTCCTGTAACATTGTCGACACAAGAATATACAAAACAGGTGATGCAAAATCTTGGAGAATGATTGGCGCTTTTTCGGTTGTTCCACCCCGCAATTGTTAATCGCCAGTTTTGGCAACAAGAGTAGGGGGGTTTCAGGGGGGCTTGCCCCCTGACCTAATAAAAATATGGTGGGGGGTTTCAGAGGGGCATGCCCCCTTGAATTTGCCATAATCAATCTGATGTTTTGCAGTTGTTAGGTTTGATATCTTAGCTCATCGCGCATCAAACGTATCTCGATGTAGGCAGGCTCAAATAAGGGGGGGTGGGAACTACCGAAAAAGCACGGAATGATTACCCTACCGTAGTCAAAGTAGGAAACAAATGGTAGTCAAAGTGCATTTTAGGTGCGTAAATTATTAGACTCAATGTACAACAAAAACATGTCATTACTTGCGTTTTTGTAGCATTATAATTCCCATTGTACAACTATAACAGAAATTGAATAGAATCTAGATGCGTGCTAAACGAAAATTGTGCAGACAGCTCGGCACAACCCATGGTCTCTTCCCCTTCTATAGACTCCATGAATTTGTTTAAATTCGTAGTTCAGGCTTCGTAAATATGACATGTTTCTTGTCATACTAAAAACTATAGCTGACTTGTACAACTAATATTATCCCCTAGATCTAATGTATGTTGTTGTTTGGGTCTGACCTAGTAAAGGGCTACAAACACAAGTAATGACGTGTTATAAATTGTTGTACATTTGTCATTTGGTCTAATAATTTACGCACCTAAAATGCACTTTTACCCAAACTTTGAAATCATATGTAGAGCATTTTTGTATCTAGAGATTTAAAAACTTTTTATTATATTATTAAATTTCAGTTCCTGTGTATAAAAAGTGCACTTAATCTGATTCTCTATAATGTTGAAATCAATGTTTTGTCAGTGAGTATTTGAGGGATACAAATAGGCCCAACAGAGGCTCAGGCAAAGTTTGGAATTTGTTTAAAAACATACCTCATGAAATGCATCATTTTGATAGTTAGTTTTTATTCATATTACTTTAATTCATGTTATGTGCATCATATCGTCATTGATTGTGCTGTGATTGTGATAGTCATGAGAATGTCTATATTGTATAGGTAGTGTTATTCTAAAGCACGTATATTATGCTTTTTCATTCACTTGCATTATAATATGTGCTAAGATTAATCTTGGTCTTCCTTCTCTTATTGCTTAAAGTTGTAAAACATTATTTTGTGCCCCGTATTGTAAAATGCCGAGAGCTCAGGTCCTGTGTAGTATGGGAGCAAATGCTGTAGAAATGATCTGCATTATTACTATTATTATCATTATTAATATTATTATTATCATCACCATCATTGTTATTATTATTATAATGTGCTTATCATGTATTTATATTCCTTTTTCTTTACACAGGATTAATAAATCTTTTTTCTCAAATCTTAGTGTTACGGTAAAAATGTTACATTTTGTGAAATATATTTCAGAAGCTGGAGTCTGCCGTGTCTCTCCTGCACTCACAAACAGTGTCCGGGCCCGTCCTGACGGAAATTGTTTCCTTATTGCTGCCTCACGTTGAAGACGAGAAATATTCCTCTGTTTGGGTGGTCCTGTTGGACAAACTGTGTGGACTTGGCCATCTCCCAGAGACGGCTGAGGTGTACAGACAGTTGGATGAGTGGCAGGACAAGGTGTTCTCCTGTGGTAAGACTTTCTCGTGGCTGGTTTTGCCGTTTGGTCAAAGATACTCATGTGGTGAGACTTTCTCATGGTTGGTTCTGCCGTTTGGTCAAAGATACTCATGTGGTGAGACTTTCTCATGGTTGGTTCTGCCGTCTGGTTGAAGATACTCATTCATGTGGTAAGACTTTCTCATGGCTGGTTCTGCCATTTGGTCAAAGATACTCATGTGGTATGACTTTCTCATGGTTGGTTCTGCCATTTGGTCGAAGATACTCATGTGGTAAGACTTTCTCATGGTTGGTTCTGCCGGTTGGTCAAAGATACTCATGTGGTAAGACTTTCTTGTGGCTGGTTCTGCCGTTTGGTTGAAGACAAAGTGTCTTCTTTTTATTACATGTGATTAAATTTTATCCTTTAAAAAGTCTTCAAATCTACTGATTAAGAGAGGAATGTTGTATAAGAGATTTGTGTAATATGTAGTATATTTTATATTTGTCACTATTCACTATCTTCTTTCATAGCTTAACAAATCTTGTGCCTGTGCGAGTTGAACTAGTCGTGTCTGTCCTATCTGCTCTTTAACCTTATCCGTACGTCGTGGTTTACTATCTTGTCCATACGATGTGGGGAACTCTGTGCCACCACTTTCCAAGGAAGACATTTACTCCGTTAATTTGATCCGTACGCTTTGCATAGCTGTCTTTCAAAATGATTTTTTGAGAAATACTGAAAGTTTCAAAGAGATCTTCGGACTAGAAGTATTCTAAAATGTGAAGAATACAACCCCGGGGGTACAAAATAACCCCAAGACGTATGGATAGGTGATAGGGTTAAGTTGTGATGGCTGCTCACTTATTAAGTTTAGAGCACACATCACCAGCTTCACCATCTCTCTGCTGCCAGTTGAGTCAACCTTTGGGAAATACTGACTGACTGGCCTGTCTGCTCCTTGGTGTTGCCCCACCACTGCCACCACTCCCACCCCCCACCCCTCCACCACCATCATCACCACCTCCACCACCTGCACCACTAACATCCCTGTATTGTCCCTATATTCTCATCCTCTCTCTTCTTTCATTTTTTCCTGAAACCTATAAGTGAGGCTTATATTTCAACTCTGTATTATACGGATGTCCTATCATTGTTTATATATCAGTTTAGGTGGCTAAAACAGCACCTGGACATGGATGGCTGGTGCCTCTATAAATAAATCATTGATGGACGTACGTACGTTCGTGGCTAAAACAGCACCTGGACATGGATGGCTGGTGCCTCTATAAATAAATCATTGATGGTCATCAGTTTAGGTGAGAAAAGCATTGTTCTTTTAGACTAAGATCAGGGAAAAATTGTCAGAAAAACATTGTTCATATTGACTAAGGTTAGGAAAACATTGATTATATTCATATCTATATATTATATATTGACTAGCGTCAGACTGAGGTCAGAAAAATATTTACATTAACTTAGGTAAGAAAATCAGTTACATGGGATCTTCACCTGAGACAAGGGAATGTTCATTTGTCCCTCAAAAAAATGCTCTTGTGTTTTGTTTGTGGTATATTTCAAGTTATGAAACTGATTCAAATTGTAATGGTTTTATATGAATGAATATCCATGTATTATTTTAATGTCTTCAGCCTTAGTCTTTTGTTTGTTTTAGTAGAGATTGTACGGAGTTCACAACTGCATAAGGTCATATGAGCGTCAAGGGGTGGATGTCAACAGAGAAGTCCTTACAGGGAATCAGGCTTACTCTGCTCACCTCTCTAG